CCCCCCCCCCCCCCCCCCCCCCGAATATGAATCCCCTACCCTTCTATGAATACCCAAAAGTCCCAAATTATCCCTACATGTGCCCCCGTGTTCAAAATGGCGGTCGAAATATAAATTTCAAAATTTGCAGATGTTTTTCTCTAAGTTTATTGAAAAGAATTGCTGTTAATAGTTAGTTAAGTGGTGAAGGATGTCGGTCATACTTGAAACAACTATTGGAGATTTAGTTATTGATCTTTTTACCGAGGAAAGACCAAGAGGTAACCTAGAAATTTATTTTTTGTCGTCCTTTGACAAAGTCACCTGAGATTTAAAATTGCTAATTTTTGAGTACTTGTCTTTTTTAGCGTGCCTGAATTTCTTAAAGTTATGTAAAGTGAAATTCTATAACTACAGCCTTTTCCATTTTATTCAGGTAAACTATTCTCCTCTCAATAAACACTAGTTCAAGTTTTTATCTCATTAGAATGTGTTTATAGTCCAGCGCAGCTGCGCAGGTAGAACTCTATAAATAGGCAATTCCCATTATAGACTAATTTTAAAATTAGGTAAGGAAACTCAAATAAATCACCACAGCTAGAAAGAGCATACTAAAATTAGTAAAATTACAAATTTTGGTTGTAAAATGAGGAAAATATAGCCTTGCAAAGTTCGCAAATTTTGTATACTTTTCGCACGCAATACAAAAGTATACAAATATATCGCACGCAATACAAAAGTATACAAAATTTGTAAACTTTGCAAGGCTATATTTTCCACATTTTACAACATTTCACAACCAAATTTTGTAATTTTACTAATTTTAGTATGCTATTTCTAGCGTTGGTGATTTATTTGCATCTCCTTGCCTAGTTTTAAAATTAGTCTATAATGGGAATTGTCTATTGAGATGTGAAATCTTTTCTTCTTGCAGAGAAACTTTCTAGCTCAAACCGGGGATCCAACTGGGTCAGGTCGTGGAGGAGAGTCCATATTTCGATCACTTTATGGAGACCAAGCCAAATTCTTTGATGCTGAAACTAAACCTCGAATCAAACACATTAAGAAAGGAACTGTGTCGATGGTGAATAATGGTGATGATATGCATGGATCTCAGGTATGGATTATTTACTCTGGTCTGTGCCAGTGTAGGTAGTGATATAAACAAAACTTTGGTTGATCCCTAGGGATGCAACTACCTGAAAAATACAAGGAGAACTTTGAATGAACGCTTGTCAGGAAGTTAGTGAAGAGCTGACAAAGGGCCTTTGCTCGAAATGTGGATGTTATCCTGGTATTTTTCTGGTAGTTGCATCCCTATCATCCCTATTTATAGATTGCTTAGTCGATTGAACAATAGAAAAAGCAATTGTAGACACTTTTTAAACCTTTTGTAGTTTGATATTTGTTATGTTACGCTGAATGTAAATCCGCACCGGGCAAGCTTGAAAAATATGCCTGGCCATGTACGGTGGGAATCGAACCTACGACCTTTAGAATACTAGCCCAATGCTCTGCCATTCCAAGGCGTAAAAAAAAAAATACCTGTGGTTCCGGTTCCCGACCGACGCTATTTTTTTCTGCCGACCCTATTATTTTTTCAACGTGAATGACCGTGCGACCCTATTTTCCAGGTGGTTGCGGGCTGCTCATACAGCGTGCCAAAATAGCGTCTGTTGTCACACTAATTATTGAACCAAATTGCCTAAATTCGTCCATAGGAAATACGCATCTCTAGTTAATATTGATGTTGGGACTCTACCACAAATCTCCCAGCAAAAAACCGCCAAAACCATGAAAAAAATATTCAAAAAAAAAATTTATTTCCGACCTACCGACCCTAATTTTTTCACGATATGAAACCGGAACCACAAGTATTTTTTTTTACGCCCAACTCTTTTAGTTATTACTATAATATGCTCTACTTTATTACTTTACTCTTTACCAGATGATTATACTTGTCTTCATGCAATATATAGCTTAACCTTTTACTCTACCAGTGCTTTGATGGTTGAAAGATTATTGTTATATTTACAGCTTTGTTACACAACCCTAAAATACTAACTATTCAGTGTTTGTTGTGTTTAGTTCTTTGTTACTCTTGGTGAAAACCTGGATTATTTGGATGGTAAACATACTGTGTTTGGTGAGGTTGCCGAGGGATATGATATCTTGGACAAATTAAATGAGACCATTTGTGATGATAAGCATCGTCCATACCAAGATGTCAGGTATAGGATTGTTTCTTCAGTGAAGGAGTTGGGACACTAAAGGAGTGAGGGCATTCCTAATTTACATTAAAGAAAAGGTCAAGTCTGTTTTGTGCATGTGCTATGTGAGGATCCTCTGATGTAAACAATACCCAAATATTACCATTGTTTCAAAATCTTCTAAATTAAGAATCTATATTCTAATTAATTTAAAAGCATATAGCAAACCAGAACAATGTTAGATACAGTATTAACTAAATCCATGGTGTTTTATGAATATAGTGTCTTCAAAATGTAAACAATCTGCAGAACGGACTTCTCATCATCTTTAAAGGACAGGAATATATTGCTAACCAAACTGGCACCAGAATATTTCTGAATGTGGCCTCCATAATTTGTCGTGCTCTAACTTTCTGCTTTAGTGGACGGGTTGTGCATGCTTCCGGCGTCCTTAAAATAAGTCCTTTGTATTGTACTACACTGATCAGTCAAACTTTATTAGCTATAGTTTTTATTTTTTCATTTGATAAAGGATCACTCACACAGTAATACTGGATGACCCTTTTGATGATCCCGCTGGACTTCAAGTACCAGATAGATCTCCTGAACCAACCAAAGAACAACTGGATGTAAGATTTGTGTGCTTTGAAACTATATTATTGGTTGTTTATTAAACCAAAGTGCCCCAATGTGCCCTACATTACTATTTTCCTCTGTAATGTCACACAATTTTACTTTCCAAGAGGAGAGCACTGGTGCTCAATGGATTAATAAAGTTCAGGGCTTGAAATAACGTTCCCAAAGTTCCCAACCATGGTGATCGGCAGTCATGACTTTCCCTGCTTTTTCAGGTTGGAGACCCTGCTTTTCTGGCGATTTCTTGCCGATCATTGATCGGTGATCAGCTGTTATTTCAAGCCCTGAAAGTTAGTTTAGTGTTAGTTTGACGTATTGTTTACATGAAATGAAATGTTGTTGTTTAGAGTGGTCGTATTGGTGCAGATGAAGAGATTGATGACACAAAAGGCAAAACTCTGGATGAAGTTGAAGAAATTATTGAAGAGAAAGAGTTTAAAGCTGGTGCACAGATACTGGAAATGGTATGAGAAATACTCGTATTATACAGTTTTAACTTTCATGCACTTTCTCAATACCCCCAGGATGCAATAATTTGAGATATTTAGTATGTTTAGTCTCTCACACATCGCTTTCACACACTCAGGTAGAAAAAATAGACGAGCACTGCTCGCAGCAAATGTTAAAGTTTGAATGAAGATTTGCTATTGAAAATTTGAAGGAAATCTTAACACCCATGTCCCAGTATGGGCGCAACAACATATGGTTGACAGACATTATTCCTTGAATTTAAAACCATGGTCTGATGGTCAGCTAGAACACTATATGTTTATGCACATGCAGATTTAGCACAAAAATACTCTGTTGGTCTGCAGGAAATTTTTGTCTCCAGGTTGTGCTCCCAGGAAGAAAATTATTTTTTCCTGCCCTGCTTTCACACTCCAATTATACAATTTTGTACAATTGGAATGTGAAAGCAATGTGTGAGAAACCATTTTCTGATTGTCATAACTTAGCCAGATGTTATACTTCATCATGCTTTCTACATCAAACATGCTGTATTTTTAAGGTTGGTGATATACCGGATGCAGATATCAAGCCTCCAGAAAATGTTTTATTTGTGTGTAAATTAAATCCTGTGACGACTGACGAGGATTTAGAAATCATATTCTCTAGGTTTGGACAAATTAAAAGGTAAGAATATCTGCCATTTTGTGGAAATTGTAATGTTGAGTGATTGTAGTTGATCTAGTGCATGATAGTTTCATCCCCTGGGAAACTCTACTAGTTCTTTTGTTGTTTATAAACTACAGTTGGTTTCACATGTACTACTTACTACCTGTATGTAGAACCCTGTGTCTCTCATGACATGTGTGGTTCCCATGGAAACCTAAAGTAAACCTGGTTGATCCACAGGTGTGGTCAGTATTGAGATTATCTTGACCATGTATTGTTCAACCAACATTCTCTTACCTTAGATAGATTGACGCTACCTAGACTACCTTAGAGTACCTATTAAGTTTGATAAGGTCATCTTTATTCATCTATTTTTAGCTGTGAGATAATCAAAGATTCTGTTTCTAAAGAGTCTCTTCAATATGCTTTCATCGAATATGAGAATGTAAGTAAGGTTTATTGCAATAGTTCAGAAATTGCAGGACGTGTGTCATGCAATCCTATATGTTGAGGCTATCGTTGTCAAAGTCAGACTGCCGAAGGGTTTGTAGACGGATATTTCGAGTGGTTAGTTGCATCGAATGAGATGTCCGAAATCCTGATATTAATTAAAGTGAGATACTGTAACTATATTTACGTAAAACGAATTTACTCCTAGGTAGAAGATTGTGAGAGAGCTTATTTCAAAATGGACAATGTTCTTATCGATGATCGTCGTATTCATGTTGATTTTAGTCAGTCTGTTGCAAAACTGGTTTTTAGCAAGCCTGGTGAGTATTGAGTACCATACAGTACTAATGATACTACCATTCCAGTCGGTTGGTTAGTCTATGGTTAGTCAGAGGATGTTTTCACTGTTTTGGCTAACATCCCGCCTTGGTGGCGCAGTTGTCAGAGTATGTGAGTTCGTGGGTTGGATTCTCGCTATGGACTCATGTGAAAAGAGTCAGTCAACGCTCTGCCGAAAATCGTGGGTTTTCTCCGGGTGTTCCGGTTTCCTCCCACAGGGAAAGTTGACAGGGTGGGTTAGGATAAACATAGTTAGGAAAGCAATGTCACAATTGTTGTGAAGAAAAAATAGTCTAGGCTAAGTATGTAATTAAGTAAGCGTATAACACTTGATTTAAAGCGCATTTGATCAGGAATTCTTCACACAGGACTCATGTAAACACGCCCTCAATCGGTTAGTCAGCCAAGTCAATCAATCAGTCATTTTCTTTCAGGAGCGAAACCTGTATATGAACTGATAAACAAGAAAGAAGAAGCAAAGCCTAAACTGGAAATCAAGAATTCCTCAAGGAATGAAAAATATGATTTAGTATTCGAAGATCATGCTGGACTCAGTGATGAGGAACAAAATTCTAAAAAGAAACATGCCAAGAGAAAGAAAGATGACAAGGTATAGATTAAGTAATATAATCTTGAAGTGTCTGTGTCAGTGTAGGTATTGCCAATAATATAAACAAACTTTCGTTGATAGGGATGCAACTACCCGAAAAATATAAGGAGAATTTCGACGTTTCCAGCGAACGCCCTTCGTCTGGAGTTGGTAGGGATTCGACGAAAGGCCTCAGGGTTCGAATTAATTCTGAAAAAATGGTTCGTGAATTATTTTTTTATTTTAAGGAAATTTTAAGGAATTTTCAAGGAATTTTCGCTAATTGGAAGTTAAAAAGTGGAAGCACTGCAATTTTCAAATATATAATATACATCGCAAACTCGCAAAAAAATAGAATTTTGGGTGGAATTATAATCGTTTTTAAGTACAATCTAACAACAAGATCTTCAGAATATATGATCCTTCATCACATTTACAAAGAACTGAATTTATTATTGTATATTTTTATCAATTTGAGAAACTTTTGATTTGTGATTTTGATCAATTTCTATGAAATTGGGTTCGTGAAAAATGAAAATTGATTCGTGATTCACGAATCACGAACCGTTATTTCGAACCCTGGGCCAAAGATTAGATACTATAAAGATGTGTCACTCTGCGAAAATCATGTCCGAGATTTTTTTATAGCCGCCATTTTGCCAGTAAGTGTCAAATTCGTCAAATTCGTCATATATCGCGAGCATCGCGATGGCAACCTATTGTATTCGTCTCGCCGCCATTTTGGCAGTAAGTGTTATGCACTCGTCATCTCGCGTGATCACTCGTGATCAACACGGAAAATTACGGACACGCAAACATTAGGGAAATACGTCGAGTGACACATCTTTATAGTATCTAATCTTTGCCTGGGCCTTTGGAATTCGAAGAAGGACCTTTGCTCGATACGTCGAAATTCTCCTTATATTTTTCGGGTAGTTGAATTCCTACCAACGAAAGCTTGTTCTAGATAATGCAGTACAATGCTGTTGCTCTCACTGCAAGACATACGTGCAAAAACGGCAATTCTAACTCCCCCGGTTCAATGTTGACAGTTTGTAAATTGGTTAGGTTAAAGCTTTGCGAAATACATGTCAAAACCTACACTGCAAGGGGTAGCGGGGGAGATAAAGACGCCATCATATGTGTATGTGTCCAGTAATACTTTAGTTTACACCTAAGTCCTCAGAATTTTTGCCATTGTTGTAGAACTTCAGTCATTCGATCTAAGTGTAGACGTTGATCAATGTTTATTATATATGGCATTTTAGAAACGACGTTACTCGTCAAGTGAGGAGGATAGTTCTGAGTATCAAAGGTGAGCAATTATTTTTCTACTGATGAGAAATCCTACGAATGATCTCAATATATATCTGGAGCCAAGATGGCATTATTAACGTCTTACAGCTATTATTATTATTATTATTATTTAAACGTATTTACATGCACGGTGATCTTTCAGTTCCCTGGTTTTCAAAGAGCCGTGCAACAACTAAACTGAATGCAATACTCATAATCAAATACTATTTACATTAATTTACAATGTATTGTATTGTATTTAATTATATTTATACACGGTATCATATCAATTGATATCACGGTAACCTATCAAAAAATATCATTTCCCCCAGCTAATTCTAGTTTTCTCTAACGGACCGTATCGCTATTCAAGTTGTCAGTTCATAAAACCATAGTAATTTTGACTGTAATAAACTCTAAAAGCTCTTCCTTTTTATTTAGAAAATCTACTGTAGACCATCCTAAACAAAGGCATAGCAAAGAACACTACAGGGACCGCAGTCCTGGGGAAAAATATCACACAACTGATCGCAAGTCTGGGGACAAATACCGGAAATCAGACGATAGTTACCGGAAGTCAGATGGCAGTTACCGGAAGTCAGATGACAGTTACAGGAAGTCAGACGATAGTTACAGGAAGTCAGACGACAGTTACCGGAAGTCAGATAATAGTTACCGGAGGTCAGATGATAGTTACCGGAGGTCAGGTGACAGTTACCGGAAGTCTGACGATTCATACCGGAAGTCAAGAAGTGAAAAACGGAAGACATGAGGGCACAAATGAAAGATAGACGTCCATGTTAAAATGGTAAGTCAGAGGTGAAATAGCAAAAATTTGACAAGTAATAATCTAAATGTCCACCGTTGGGGTTGGATCTGAGTCGGTTGGGCTCGCCAAGGTTTGCGGTTAGATCGGATGTTTAGCCCTAATTACGATGTCGCTAATACTTGGCGCTGTTCTCCTCAACCTTTGTTGGTCGGAAATTCTTGGATACACACGATAAACTATGACGATAGCACTTGGCTACGCTTGTAATGCTTCGGATCTGCTTATCCGTCAAATTCTTAGTTCGTATGTAAAGCGAAACTAAACTAACATATACTGGAATGCTCTATCAGTTCTGAACTACTCTCCCTACATTCTTAGAGAGCGAGCTTAATGTTAACGCAGTCAAACAATACAACAATAAAGTGAATATTTATGCCAAGATACAGAATATTCATTTTCAAATAAACACAAACTTGTCATTCATTAGTAAATTTATTGCAATGTTGACATATAATGTATAGAAATATTAAGGCAGATGTAGGAATGACGCCAGAGTTCCCATTCTTGGCCAAAATTTTCTCTTGTCTTTTAAAAAGTGCAGAAATTACGAAAATGTTTTCTATTATCTATAGAAAAATACTCATCACGTAAACATTTGCTTCTTTTTTTTTTCAACAAACGCCGTGAAAGTATGTTTTGTTTTATTGAAATACTGGTTTTCAGTTTGCTTGGTCTGGTGGGTAACCACGTGAGCATATATATACACATGCACAAATGGTGTTCCCCCAAAAGCTACATCGGTTTAGTCGGTTTTTGAAAAACATTGTCGTTTTATCGATCAACTCCCTCATCCTACAAACAGATTATATAACAGCTATAGGGCGTGAAATAACAGCCGACCAATGATCGGCAAGAAATTGTTAGCGGAAAAGCAGGGTTTCCAACCTGAAAAAGCAGGGAAAGTCATGACTGCCGATCACCATGATCGGGAACTTTGGGAACGTTATTTCAAGCTCTGATATAATCCGTCAAGACAAACTGTAAGCGTCTACACAGACAAACGTGCTTGCGTTGTGTTTAATGGATGATTTCTTCTCCTGATGGGTGTGAACGAGTAAACGAGTTATGAATGCTCTTAGTATATGTACCCTCATCTAAAGTATATGTACTCACTCGTTCACACACATTGCAAGTGTAAACGGGCCTTTACACAAGTGAAGTTTAAAAAAAGTGTGCGTCAGTGTAAGTTTCTTTTTGAAATCTTTGGGTGAAAGTTGACAGTGTATATACCTGCCTTGAATGTCATAAGTTTTTTCGTGTTTGGCATCTTAAGTTATGGCCAAGAGCTGTGTCGTTCTTGAAAAGTATGACGGAGAATTCCCAATAATATCATAAACCATATTCTCATCCAACATGGACGAGGGTCGTATGCATCTCCAAAGATATGATGTTGCTTGATTGCGGATAAATCTTGCGTACGTTCCAGGATAGTTTTCCTCGCAATAGTCATCTCGTAGTTTCTGCACTCGGTATGCTGGGAAAGAAATGAAATAGAATTACATCTAATGTTACTGTGATTCATTTGTGTCAGAACTACCTGCAAAGCATTTCAAGGGAATATCCCTTGTCACGTGGTTAATAGCAACAACTACAATTTCCTGGCTTAGAGGGCCTTCGCTCGTACTTTTCGTAATTTGAATGGATTGCATATTTGGGTCATTCTAAGAAGACATGTAACAAATCTTTTATAAGTCAGAAGTCTCCTCTTGATCAACTTTTTCACTGTCAAAGTTTCCAGATATGATGTCATCGGGTGAATTCTCCGAGTGAAAAAGTAAAAGAAAACTAATTTGCAAAATGACATCAAATCTGGAAACTTTGACAGTGAAAAGTTGATCAAGATTATGGTTTTATTCTTCAAAGATATATTACATTTCTACCAAGAAAAATTACACATACCAAAAATGTTATGTCGGGTTAGTGGCATTAATATATCACAAGATATCTCTGTTACTCGCAATCATATGCACAGAACTTTAAATAAGCCAAACTATACACAAACCCCTGACCATAAACATACCTGGCAAGTCAAAATCAGAGTTTTCGTTTATAGTTACAGCACCATAAATGTGGTCCCTGAAATCTCTCCATTGAAGTAAATTGCCGTTCACATTGATAACTCCTGAGGCCATTCCTGAGATCTCGTTGGCTGTTAAGAAATCTGTCCAGAAATTTAAACCGGCCAACTCCCCCTCCATTGCCTGTGAACTGCTAAACCCCCCGGCAAAACTATCAACCTCTTGCCCCAGCACGATGGCACCGTTTGCGGGAATAACCTCGCCAACTGCGATAGTTGTGCTATGTAGTTCCACACCGTCTTTATAGCTCTTGACTAAACCATCTGAACTGCGCCATTGTATGCAGAAGAAATGCCATCTGCCTGTACGAACCACCGGTCTACGAGAAAAACAAAAATTCAAAGCCATAGTGCTTTAAAGGCTTTCCAAGACAGTCCTCAAAAACACACAGACATAGCACGCCTTTTATTCGAAGGGTCGACGTGCACATATAAAATTCATGAATGATATGACTTTTACTGCATATTGTATTTAAACTTTAAATTTTTTACACGTTTCATTTGGTTTCCCTATATATGTATTTATATACAAGGTGTCCCAAAAAAACAAACTATTGAAATAACGTATTGTTAGAATTTGAATACCTTAGTAATAAGCTGAACGCAAAGATGTGTAAAATATTGACAGGGTGTATCCCTCCAACTTTGAAAGTACTCACGTGGTATAAGAATATATCCCTCTGACAATAACTGCGAATTTGTAAGTGCTATAAAAATAAATCGCAAGCTCGTCCTCGTACTCGGTGGACGAATATGCAAGTATTCCAGCTGAGTATCTGAGGAATTTAGTCCAAAAGCAAGCAGACACAGTCGTTATATCGTTGGGGGAAACGTCGTAGATCCGCGCGTAATTCGATGTTGAAGCTGTGGGAAAACTGATCTGGTAGTCTGCAATTGCTCCTATGAAAAAAAGAGTTTGGGTGACTTTTCATACTGGGTGGTGGTTGGGTCTATGGGTGCTTTCCATTAACACGGGTCAGAACGGTCAAATTTTTTATTGGAACACAAAACATTGCGCTTAGAAGATGGATAGATAGATATCTGACCGGAAAATTTAGATAACATTCTAATGAGGTCCATTTTCTCTAGATATTTGAGAAATATAGACCAGATGCTCCATTAATACAGAGAAAATAATTCGGATCTGGCCGGTCATGCCATTAAATGGAAAGCGCCCATAAGGACAGGAGACGCAGGCTCTATTTACCCGCGCCCGCCCGCCTGTCACTTCCTTCACAGGCGGGCGCGGGTAAATAGAGCCTGGTCTCTGTGGTGTACAGTGAACTATATACACGTATGTTATATTATAGTTCAGTGGTGGTGTATATGTCTTTCACTTCTGTGATATGATGTTTCATTCCAACCAATTCCAACCTCGTTCCCAGGCTCTTCCCTATTTAGTAGGAAGACCCTGGGGACGAGGTTGGTTTCATTCCTGCATTATGCAGTTGTCAATCTCGTTGTCAGCCTGCGATCCTCGGGAAGGAACGCGAGGCTCTGGGATAATCCGTTTCAGGGAGGAATCTGATTGGCCGTTGAAATGGAATGCGTAGTTCAATCTTAGCCAGGATTCCTGGCTTCCGGCAACGGATTATCCCAGAGCCTCGCGTTCCTTCCCGAGGATCGCAGGCTCGGGGAACGAGATTGTGCAGTTGACTGATGATAATATCACCCCATGTGACAGCAGTGCATCCAGTTTGACTTTGCCAGACTACGTAATTTTATTCTGGGTACTCTGGGATTTTCCGACCCTGGGTTATTAAAGGGCTGGCCTAGAAAGAACAGTTCAGAACTGTTAGAGCTATAACATATATCAATCAATTAAATTTTACTTTCCTTTATGAGTGTAACGCGTTTCGTTGGTAAGGATGAAACACAAAGCTCCCTCGTCGGGAGGTTAGTGAGGGTAACACTATTCCCAAAGTTTTGTATTCTCTCAGTGGTCCTAAAGTTAGTTTAGTCTCAAAATTCATCAGACCGACTTTCAGCCTTACACTGTTGCAATAAGCTACTACGGTTTGTGTTTACCTGAAAGCCTGGTTTACACTATCAAAGTTTCTGTGGAATTTTGCGTTGTAAAGACTTGAGTGCGTTTCCCCAAACATTTCGTACAAATCCTTCAAAACTTAGAATAGATGATTGCCCTCATTACGTTTTCGTTGCGCTTTGCATTGTGGTAATAGTGGTATCCCTGATATTCATGATGGCTTATTTTTTGTCCTGACCCGTGCAAGAACTTTTAAAAAAGCTAGGGTCAGGTTTACGATAGCCAAAGGCAAAATATTCGCGAAAACATTCAATATTTTCATTCGAGGCCGCTATCTTTATCAGTGATACCTATAACCACAATGCAAAGCGCTACGAGAACGTAATAAGGGAATCATCTATTAATCTATGCAAAATTCCTACTGTGATCACAGAAACTTTGATAGTGTAAACAAGCCTTAAAACAGGTCGACATTTCGAAGAAAGACCGGCACAGTTCAGGTGCCAAGTACGACAGTTTTATTTTGTGGCCTGTGATTGAAATACCAGTACAAGTTTGTACTTACGACTGTTAAATAGATCGCTTGGTGTCTCTTGAAAGGTCATGTCTCCCACAACCTTTGACTTCGCTCCATACCAAGCAAATACATTGCCGTTTTCAAACAATGGTCCTTGGTTTGCCATTAATGATAAAGCATGTCCATCAACTTCATAGTCCCATATGTTGAGTCTGCTCAGACTGCCGTTCATGGAATGATCTCCATTGTCTGGGTTTCCTAAACCTATTGAAGTGTTTAGGAATATGTGAACGGTTGCACCTTGACTGTTTAATCACAGGTGATGGTATATGTATTCTTAGTGATGGTGGTGACGATGGTGTTGGTAACGGTTATGGTGATGAAGATGATGCGGTGAAAATGATGGTGGTGATGATGGAGATGATGGTGGTGATGATGGAGATGATGGTGGTGATGAGATGATGATGGTGGTCGTGAAGATGGTGGTGATGAAGATGATGGTGGTGGTGATGAAGATGATGATGGTGTTGATGAAGATGATGGTGGTGGTGATGAAGATGATGATGGTGGTGATGAAGATGATGGTGGTGGTGATGAAGATGATGATGGTGGTGATGAAGATGATGGTGGTGGTGATGAGATGATGATGGTGGTCGTGAAGATGGTGTTGATGAAGATGATGGTGGTGGTGATGAAGATGATGGTGGTGGTGATGAGATGATGGTGATGAAGATGATGATGGTGGTGATGAAGATGATGATGGTGGTCGTGAAGATGGTGGTGATGAAGATGATGATGGTGGTGATGAAGATGATGGTGATGAAGATGATGATGGTAGTGATGAAGATGATGATGAAGATGATGATGGTGGTGTTGATGAAATGATAGTGGTGGTGGTGAAGGTGATGGTGATGAAGATGAAGATGGTGGTGGTGAAGATGATGATGGTGGTAGTGATGAAGATGATGATGGTGTTGATATGGTGGTGGTGGTCAAAATGATTATAGTGCTAGTGACCACGAGTATATATTTTCAATGATGTTAATTTAAAATATACAGTTCTGCTAAATCAAAAACGTTATATTTTACCCAATAATAATTGTCCTCCTGCAGGAATTGTGATACCAGAAGCCACACCATGCATAATAGAGACCAATGAACCATCCAGATAGATTTTCCAGTGAGCTGTACTACTACTCCATGTGGTAGAAATATGGTGCCAGTATGCAGGAGACTCCTTCCAATATCTTGGAACTCTGGCTTGTCTAAAAGTAAGTCGAGAAATTAAGCTAAAATTATGCTACATTCCCTAATCGATATCAGTTACGTTAATGCCTTTTTATGCCTGTGATTCGGAGGCAACCTTACTTCGTATCAGCTCCAGCCATTTCCAAGATCAGGACATCTTTGTGAAGGCGAAAGGCGAGCGAGGTCGCACGATTATTCGTGTATTCCACGTATCGTATATACTCAGAATGTTTTGCCCACATTGAGATTGTAAAAGCGTCCAGAGTTGGAATATTATCTGACGATACGATATGTGTTGCCTGTGTGCTTGTACCTGGTGTGGCTGACATTGCGATATCATAGTCTCTATCTAAAGAAAAGTGTTTTTTTTGGACGGTTGCGTAACAAGCGCTCAAAACTAACGAGATATAATATGTAATTTGGTTATGATTACATTTAAAATTCTTAATTTTTGATAAGTTTCTCAAGCGGCAAGCAAACTTAAGAAGTGTGTTTAGTGCTTTATCTGTAAAATAATGCTAAAATGAAGAGATTTTCATTGGTACGCCAAAACGAAAATGATGTCTGAAATTCAGAAAATGATCTCTGAAATTCAGTATTGCGATAAATATGGCGTTTTTTAAAACGCCAATAATGCTTTAAAAAGCATGCTTTATGCTTTATGCTTTTATTAATGCTTTAAAAAGCATTGATAATACACCCTTATGGAAAGTACGTCACTATCCGGAATAAATCAGTAAAATCACTTTCCCCTAGCTGAGGGGTCATTCACAGGGCCGCCGAGAGAATTGGGGGGGGGGGCGGCGCAAATCTTCCCTGGGGGCCCATGACATCATTATTTTTAAGCTAGACCCAACTAGACCTTAGCTAGACTGCTTGTGGAGGTACTGCAAGGGGCCCTCAATTTCAAAAATGCTCAGACCATTTTAAAGACCCTACTCAATTTTAGGTTCTCGCTTTCAAGTAGGGGCCCTATTAAGTTAGGGTGGGGGGGGCCGCGGCAATTTGCCCCCCCCCCCCTATCGGCGGCCCTGGTCATTCATAATTATAAACATTTCACAAACCATACGCCGAGCAAGGGAGAGGCTGACACCCCCCCTTTCATTCAAACGGCATGTAAAGTCGTACTTACTTTGACGAAGTGCTTTGCAAGGATTTGGACTTTCTTTATAGACAGCTCCATGTTTCTTCTCAACCACTGTGCTCCAGTCAAACAAATTCCCAACTTCATTAAAACAACTTTTACTCGTCGATTTTATCTCATCAGCTGTCAATATCTCATTCCATACATTGAGCTGACTTAAGTTTCCCCTGAAAGACCTTTCTAGATTAAAATCACCAGTGGAATCGGGTACCTGACCTATGTGAAATTCTCCTGCGCCTGCCAATGCTGTCTCGCCCAAGCCATCTCCGCTGTACACCGATATGCCGTCAAGGTAGATAGCGTAGTTACCAAGAGACCACGTGACTCCCACGTGATGCCAATAACCGTCATTGATTGGTGGAACTGGAAATTCGCTAAATAATGATGTTAAGGTATTTGAGCACGTTATTCATTTTATATCTTACGTTATTCTAGCTGAACTGAACTGAATGGAACTGAGCTGAGCTGAACGGAACTGAACTGAACGGAATTGAATGGAACTGAGCTGAACGGAACTGAACTGAATTGAACGGAACTGAATGGAACTGAACTGAATGGAACTGAACGGAACGGAACTGAATGGAACTGAGCTGAACGGAACTGAATTGAACTGAACTGAACGGAACTGAACTGAACTGAACGGAACTGAGCTGAACTGAACGGAATGGAACTGAACGGAACTGAACGGAACGGAACTGAATGGAACTGAGCTGAACTGAACGGAATGGAACTGAACGGAACTGAGCTGAACGGAACTGAATGGAACGGATCGGAACTGAACGGAATGGAATTGAACTGAACTGAACTGAACGGAACTGAATTGAGCTGAACGGAACTGAACTGAACTGAACTGAGCTGAACTGAACTGAACTGAACTGAACGGAACTGAACGGAACTGAACGGAACTGAACTGAACTGAACTGAACTGAACGGAACTGAATGGAACTGAGCTGAACTGAACGGAATGGAACTGAACGGAACTGAGCTGAACGGAACTGAATGGAACGGATCGGAACTGAACGGAATGGAATTGAACTGAACTGAACTGAACTGAATTGAGCTGAACTGAACTGAACTGAACTGAACGGAACTGAATGGAACTGAGCTGAACTGAGCTGAACTGAATGGAACTGAACGGAACTGAGCTGAACTGAACTGAACTGAACGGAATGGAACTGAACTGAACTGAACTGAACTGAACTGAACTGAACTGAACTGAACTGAACGGAACTGAATGGAACTGAGCTGAACTGAACTGAGTTGAATTGAACTGAACTGAACTGAACTGAACTGAACTGAACTGAACTGAACTGAACTGAACGTGAACGGAACTGATTGGAACTGAGCTGAACTGAGTTGAATTGAACTGAACTGAACTGAACTGAGCTGAACTGAACTGAACTGAACTGAACTGAACTGAACTGAACTGAACTGAACTGAACTGAACTGAACTGAACGGAACTGAATGGAACTGAGCTGAACTGAACTGAGTTGAATTGAACTTTACACTGTGCACTTCAATGTAGAAAGGAATATATGGCTTGATACACTCACAAAATACCACCACCTTCGGAACCTGTTTTAATTTTTACATCGACTTGGTTGGGCGTTACGAATATTCTAAGTTGTTGATCCGTGTTTTTGAAGTAGTCGAGTACTATCATTCTTTGTGTCTCCAAAGTATTTATCCAGAACAACATGCTTATGTCAGGAATTGCATCTTCCTTGCTGTTCTCGATTGAAATATAATTGTCAACACTCCTTGTTGGAAACACCATTGTAAAATCTTGTCCCTTGTCTATAACTGCAATGGTATACAAAGAGGAAAGTTATATACTCAAGTGTTTAACTTGTTTGCTTCAAGTTTAGATTAAGGAAGAGAACAACTGAGATGGAAAGAAATAAGACATGAAATGTTCCTGCTTGTGATCTAGTTATTGAACACAAGACAATCACTCAGGTATTATTAAATTTATTTTACTTATACTGGATAGCTCTATCAATCTAAAGTGTTCTTCCTACAGCTATGTCCAATAAGGGCTATCAAACTGTTGTCCCTTAGAGGTTCAGTAAGTGCCAGCCTTTGTAAGGAAGATCCTTAACTGAATGAACTAACTTCATTTCTACTCGATAGGTCTATCAATCTAAACTGTTTTTCATACAGGTCCAGTAAGGGCATATCATTATTGGTCCAGTGGTCCATGCGATGAATCCGGAATACTTTGAGTAAACCTGTAGTGTTTAGTAAAATCAAACTGGAAACACTCTTCTCATATACGACTGAGGTGAAATGATTTTCAGACATATGCATATTATTTGCGGAAATAGGACTGCAGGTGATAATATGTATGTTACCAGTGTGTTACCATTATATGCCTTGGCGAAACTGACATAGTACCCCTCGGTTAAGTTCTAATAACATTGGTCATAACTCACCTACTTCATCCTCACATCTGAGGCTCGTTCTTCCCGCTGGACAATGACACATTAGTTTTTGATCACGTGAACAAGACATGTCACATTGACCGCCATTTAGACATTCTCCAGGACCATCCACCATACAGTTTGGCTAAATGAACGAACATTGAATTAAGTAAATTCTCTCTAACGACATCTCTTCAACGGTCCGTGTATACTTGCAATTTTTGCTGCGATTGCTAGTGCCATTTTCGTCTTCTGATGTATGTGAACGAGTAGATGAGTTATGAATGTTCTGAGTGTATGTACCCCATTGAACTATAAATAAACTGGAAGGCTAACTGCTATGGTAAAGGCCTATGATTTGATGAAGCCAAAATAGTTTTTCTGAGTTATGAGCAGAAATACTTGACCCCAAACGTCGGACTATATATCAAATTGAAGCTATTGAAAATTGCTATTCGGTGTGGAAATTTCAAGACTTCAGC